CCTTCCTAATTTTATTGTCAAGGTGAGGTACAGAATGGGTACAGTTATACAAGTAAGGTAGTAAGCACATTTCTTGTCGAACTTGTTATCCCCTCCCTCGTTTTTCTCCCACTTTCCCTCCAGCCATCACCAAGTTGTACAGATCATTTCCAACGTATTGTCTTGCATGTATCGCTGTTACATCGGTTCCCCCTTGTCCTTTGTCTCACCATTCTGTTGTTCCCCTTCCCTTCCCTACTTCAGATATACAATACCCAGGTTACCAAAATCAAATACAGCGACAACCATAAGAAAAAGAAAAGAAAAAAATAACACAACACACACACACACACAAAGAAATCACATAGTACATTAAAAATAAAAACAGAAAAATCTTTTGTTTCCATGTCTTGGAGTTTATTTTGCTTAGCATCATCTTATATAGTCATATGTACATGGCCATTGAGCTATTCTGCTCATCAGCTAGGGTTATCCTAGACATGTACTAATTATTACAAATGGAAACCATGGGATCTATGTTTCTTTGTGCCAGGCTTACTTCACTTAATATGATTTTTTCCAAGCCTCATTTTCATACTCACCTTTTCCAGGTGAGTATTAAAGCAAATAAGCAAGTGAAAAGTGAGCAATACAAAGCCCCACAAAAGAGCACAGTAAGTCTCTTTTTTAAAGAATCATACTGTGTGCAAGGAAAAAAATAGACATCAACATAGGATTAAGATGTGCTTTAAAGTAAAAATTGCTTTCTTACCAGTCTTGTCAGTCATCTTTCTGGGTTATTTATATGTATTTCATTTTGTGTTAACTACAGCATTATGAGATAGAGAATATAATTTCCTTACTTCACAGATGAGAAGTCTAAGACTACAGCAGCAAGACTCAAAGTAGAGTTTTCAAGCTGGGAATCAAACTCTACTTGAGACCCTTAGGGAATAACACCATTAGGGAATAACAGAATAGTCTCTAGCCATGAAAATATATATATGTTTTTACTTATGTCATGATTATTTCCTTTTTATTTAATAAACAGGTAACAGTACATCCAGGACGAGAGAAAAAATATTAGTTGATATTACAAGTGGTGCTTGAATTATTGGTTAGTTTCATTTTATTTCTTTTCTTTAGTTCAATATTTTCTAACAAAGAGGAGGCAACAATGCTTGATAAGAAATGTACTCATTATCTTGCCCATGTAACTGTAACTCCTTTGTATGGTATTCTCACAATAAAAAATAAAAATAAAATACATAAAATAAAATATTTTCTGATTAATAAAAAATAAAAATAAAATACATAAAATAAAATATTTTCTGATTGTTATCTTATTTTAGGCTTATCCAGAAACAAAGCCCGAGACAAGGATATAAACATAAATATTTGAGGAATTTTGACATTCAAAAATATGTAGAATGGACAAAAGAGAAGCAGACTCCCAAAAAAAGGCAGCCCAAATGTCATGTTATTAAGCAAGTTTCCACTGTGGACCAGAAGGGTTACTCCTTACATATGAGGTTCAGTGCTTTTAAATGAGAAAGCTCAAGTAGATACAGATGAGGTATTAATAGACTATGCTATTACTGTTGTTGCTGTTGGTTTTTTATTGTCCTTGGTATCATGAATAAAATTATACAGTTACTCTCCAGTTGAAAAAGAAAGTGCTATATAAACCAAAAATTATTTCTTATTTCCATATCAGATATGTTTATGTATCTGGTCATCTACTAGGATTCTATTTTCATATAAACTTTCTCTGAAAGGCTAGGAATGTGGCTCAATAGTACAGAACTTACCAAACAAAGGCAAGGACTGGAATCCATGTCCAAGACACACACACACACACACACACACACACACACACACATTTCTCCGGAAGATGGTGGCACATATTTGCAAGGGCTCTGAGAAAGAAAGCTTCCTGAAGTTAATTATAGGGAACTGAATTATTCAAAGCCACAAAGTGCATTGTGAATATCTGAGGAGCCATGGTATGAAGCATTCCCAAACAGATGTGGCTATAGGACTCTTTTTCTAGAGACTCATCATGTTTTCACAAAGCAGAAGTGTTTGATGAGGCATGGCTTAGGAACAAATGCCCCAGTACACCCTGACAGTTCGCTAAGTCATATGGAAGACAAGTGTTTGTCTCTACTAAGACACACAGCCTACAGAAAGAAAACACCTCAATTTTTACAAGAAGATAATTCCCAACTACTTGGGGGGGGGGGAATCACACTGTAGGCAGATTCATCCTTCCACCTGGACATACAGGAAAATGTAGGCCTATATTCCTGCTGAGGAATTCAGATTCCAAAGACCTGCTCATTGTAATTAAATAGGTGTGATTTATTTTTAATGAATAAAATTATAAAGTAAGTGTGATTCATTACAATGAATAACACTACAAAGAATAACTTCAACCAGAGACTCAGTCCTTGGCTCTTTATTTTTATTTTTTTTCCAAGGGAAAGGATATCGTAAATGCTCAAAGTCCTTCACTAAAGAGAGGAGGGGCATAGGTGTTTTAGGAATTAAATAAATCATTCCCATAGGAATCCACTACAGACAGTCATGGAGTTTTCTGTGTAGCTAAATTGATATGGCATTTGACATGGCAGGGGCTTGGTGTACCAATTCCACACATGGAGTAAATAGATTAAATAGAATAATCTGAAGTGTTGAAAATAGATTAAATAGAATAATCTGAAGTATTGATACCTTAATGTTCCAAAGTAATACCCAGCCTACCTTATTTCAAGACTTTTGGGATTTTCAGCCTCATCAAACTTCAGAGACAATCTAAGAAACAAGAAAGAATACAATCTATCAGCATAGGAATGACTTTCTCTTTACCCCATACTCCAAAATTAATTAGAAGAGATCATAGATCTAAATGTAATGCCCAAAACTAAAAAGTCATAGAGGAAACAGAAGAATATTTATGTAATCTTAGATCAGGCAACAATTTCCTGAAAAACTTCAAAGCTAAAAATTGATAAATTGGACTTTGTTAGAATCAGAAACATTTGTTCTTTGGATGACACAGTTAAGAAAATAAAATAGGCAACACATAAATCAGGAGAACATGTTCAATAGCTATATACATACCTGGGATTGGTGGCTCACACCTGTAATCCTAGCTACTAAGGAGGCTAAGATCTGAGGATCTCAGTTCAAAGCCAACCCGGGCATGAAAGTCCATGAGGGAAAAAAGGTGGAGCTGTGGCTCAACGTGGTAAAGCACTAGCCTCAAGTGAAAAATCTCAGGGACAGTGCCCAGGCCCTCAGTTCAAGCCCTAGGACCAACCAAAAGCAAAACAAAACAAAACTATATACACAAAGGAGTTTATCCAGAATATAATCAACTCAACGACTCAATTTAAAAAAAAACACTTACAAATAGAAGATTCGAACAGAAATACTCTTCAAGAAAGATAAACATTTGCTAAGTACATAAAAATCACTAACAATGCAGAAACATAAAAATACTTCCCCTACAGTCTCACACTGACCACACAAACACATTGGTGAAGATATAAAACAACTGCATGGAGCTGGATGCCAGTGTTTCAGGCCTGTCATCCTAGTTACTCAGGAGGCTGAGATCTGAGGATCATGGTTCAAAGTCAGTGAGATTCTTATCTTCAATTAACCACCAAAAAGCCAGAAGTAGAACTGTGCCTCAAGTGATAAAGCACTAGCTTTGAGTAAATAGACAGCCCATAGGCCCTGAGTTCAAATCCCAGGACTAGCATCAAAAAAAAAAGAAAGAAAGAAAAGAAAAGACTCAAAAACAAAAACTGTATGCAATTCTCAGAAAATGCTGATAGAAAGGGTAAAATTATATAATCACTTATAAAACCATGTGGCAATTCCTTAAGATGTTAAAACATAGTCATACAACATGTTTTAACTTTTCTGTTCCTATATTGACTAGTAACCAAGAGAAAGACATATATGAATGATCATAAATTCATTTGGCAAGTTATGTAAAAACTATAAATAAGGGAGGGATAAATAAGTTGTGGTACTTCCATACAATGGAAATACTACTAATAATGTAAAGGAACATACGTGTAACAACACAGAAGATTTTCTAAACCATTATGCTAGGTGAAAAAAAGAAACAGAGCAAAATATTTTTAAGTGCATGCTTTTTCACAGATTTAAATCATTCTAACAGAAATTTCTCTAGTTCTTCCAAGGAACCAGAAGAGCTTGTTATTCATACATAAGCTAGCGTTCCAGCTAATAATCCCAACCCTACAACAAAGTCCCTGAGTCCACCTACTCTTTGACCTATCTCTTGATGGAGCGCTTGCCCATGTCTAAGCTCCTGACCCTCAAGAATCTTTGTTCCAGCTGTCCTGATGTCAACAGCAGCTAATTAACAGGCTATGTCTTATAGTAAAGAAGGTCTGATTTCAGCAAAACAAATGGAACATGCATTCAGTGAAGATCTTTGAGTTCCAGGCACTGTACCAATAATTGGAAACACAGGATGTTCAACCTGGAAGAAGACCTACAAATATATATATATATATATATATATATATATATATATATATATATATTAGAATTTCCTCCAAATACCATTTAAAACAGATTCTGAAAATTTCAGACTATAATTGTCTAACTTCAAAATACACACAGATGTTGGGATTATGTTCTATTTGCAGGGCTTTCACTATTTAAAAAAAGACTTCTATAGCAAATCTGTCTGCCAAATTTGCCTCTCCCTGAGCATTATTTCCAAGAGCTACAATATGCTCATCTTTTTTTCATTTGTATTTTTGACCTTACATGGTGTGTCTCTGCTTGGATTAATTCTTTCAGCAACCTCCAATCTGGTTCCTTTAAATTTGAGATTTCCTCCTCACCAGCAGAGAAAAGGCATTTTGTTAATCTAGGTACTCAACTCCTGCTAATCCACCACACAAAGCCTGAGGCTGGTCCTTCTCACCCCCTGGGAAGCCTGGGGCTCAAGCTCTTTATGTGGACTGCCCTTGGTACACCTTCACCTGAGCAGGTATGCTGCACCTCTGAGAAGAATGAGCAGGCAGTGCCCAAGACAAAATATCAAGTGCTCCCCATTCTTAATTTATGTGCTATGATAAGCAAGACTTAAGAGGTCTCTCGGTCAGTAAGGTTCATTTCATTCTACTATAGTTGTTACTTGTAGTTAGGAAGAAAATAGTTCTACTTTGCATAGCACTTGACAAAGTCTCAAAGTGCCTCTGCACGTATTTCCTTGTTTCATCTTCATCATCCTGCAAGATAGGACTAGAAGGATGAGGCTACAATTTCATTTGAAAAGATAATGTACAGACTGGAGCTGGTAGCCCAAGCAGTCTGGGATCTAAGGATCACAGTTCAAAGCCAGCCCCACCCTGAAAGTCCCTGAGACTCTTATCTCCAATTAACCACCAAAAAAGTGGAAGTGGTAGACTGCTAGCCTTGAGTAAAGGAGCTCAAACACAGCACCAGGCCTTGAGTTAAAGCCCCACTACTGACAAAAATAATTAAAAGATAACTTAGACCCCCAACACTGTATATCAATAATGTTACAAACGTGAGATTGCAGTAAGTTTTGTAAGCTCTTTGAGGCTTGATTTCCTCACCTGGAACAGGGGTGCTGGACCTGTGCAATAGTTTTTAGAGTGACAGATATGGGGCCTAAGAAGCTCACACAGTGCATGATCCACAGAAACATGCAAAGCCTCTTAGCTATAGTGAATGGACATCATCCTCTCTATCTGACAAGCAGGTCCGGTTTGCAAAAGCATAAAGTTCACTTGCAGAACTGGGCCTACATAGCAGCCAAGTTTTCATTCCTTCCATCTGTAGGTTCCCAGTGATGTCTAAGGTCTCCAACGCCCACTAACACATTGTGGTGCCCTGATTTTCCCCACAAATACCGTAGGGTCAGAAGAAATGGAATCAAGATGGGCCAGTCAACCACAGGCAGGCAAGATTATCTCCAGACAATCAGCCTGTCCCACCCAACTGACCACAAATAAAGAGCCCAGTAGGAATTAATTAGAACCTGAGAAGAAACAGGACAGGCATCTCTTTGATGGTTTTTGATAAGGTGTGTGTGTGGTAAATGATAAACAAATCTGGAAGGATTCTGAATGTTAGTATTTACAATTCCCTAAATCCTTATTCAAAGATAGTTATTCTGAATAACTCACAATATGCCTTTTAAATGTATACTAATAAAAATCTATGCTTATCTAGCATCAAGAATTTTTAAATAAGAGAATTCAGGAATAAAAGGATGTTTCCAAACAAAGTATATAAAATATAAAAAGAATATAAATACGCATATACACCCAAAATGGTATGGTTTCTACAAAGAATTCTATCCATTCCAGACCAAAACAAATGCAAAGAATTTTCCAAAACTATCCATTGTATTAACAAATATTGCAAAGGTGGCTCATGCAATACAGTTCTTCCTTATGGACCAAAACAAATCATACCCCCCAAAACAAATTTTACTTGGATGAGTGGAAAACAGAGAAAGACATTAGAAATGTATTTGTTCCTCAAAAAGGATATTTGTTTAAATTACTTTTCTCAACCCAAACTAATTATCACCTTGAAATTCCCTAAAGAATTCTCTGAACTTTGATAATTCAAAGGTACCCTGATTTATTTGCAAATAGACAATGTTCTTCAATTTCAGAAACACCTCCTACAGCCAACCATTTGTCCTGGCTTAAGTGAAGCTTCTCATTTCACACAGTTATAACATATATGACCCTGATGTGTATACTATTTCCTCCATACTGAGACAAAATTAATTTAAAACTAACATTTGGCATTGAGACCAAAACTGAAATCCTTTTATTTCTATTTTCCCCTCTGAATGGGTTTGGAAATGCTCATTTACAAATGCTTTCCCATAGGCTATTATGATAATTAGCTAAAAAGTTCAGAAAAAAAATTACCAGGAAGAACAAAACATTTATTTATTTTATTTCTTTATTTATTTATTGGCAGTCATGGGGCTTGAACTCTGGGCCTGGGTGCTGTCTGAGTTCTTCAGCTCAAGGCTAGTGCTCTACCACTAGAGCCACAGCACCACTTCCAGTTTTTTGGTGGTTAATTGGAGATAAGAGTTGTTAGCATGGGGCTGGGAAGATGGCTCAGTGGTAGAGTGCTTGCCTTGCATGCCTGAGGCCCTGGGTTCGATTCCGCAGCACCACAGCAAAAAGAAAAAAGCTGGAAGTGGCGCTGTGGCTCAAGTGGTAGAGTGGTAGAATGCTAGCCTTGAGCTGAAGAGCTGAGGGACAGCGCCCAGGCCCAGAGTTCAGGCCCCATGACCGGACCCAAAAAAGAAAGAGTTGTTAGCATATCCTCCCCCACCCCCCTCTGGTCCTCAGCTCCACCCACCTGAGCTCCTCCCTACCTTGGAGTTCCTGCCAGATGGCTGGACACTCCCTCTTTGCCCAGACCTACCTGTGAATGCACCTACCTCTAACAAACCTTACAGTAATCTTTCTCCTGTTCCCCCATGCCTCTTCGTGGTCCCCTGGGATGGTCATGGGATTATAACATTAGTTTCATGGACATTCCTGCCCAGGCTAGCTTTGAACCATGAGCCTCAGATCTGACTGCTGAGTAGCTAGGAGTACAGGCGTGAGCCACCAGCACCCAGCCAAAACATTTTTTTAAACTTAATTTTATTTAGATATTATATTAATATTAGATTAATATATTTTTATATTAACATTACATATTAAGTGTTCCTTCATTTAGATATTAAACATTTCCTAAAGAATGAATGTCAGGGTCATATAGCAAAGTAGTCTTTTCTTTTCTGAAATAACAAGTTAACCCTAAACGCTTGCTCAGGCTGAAGATCACTTACACGGCACCTTCATCACTGCAGTGTGAGTTGCCAGTGTCCACTGTTGTCTTTTCACTAAGTGTTTCATCTGCAAGGTCCAGCCAGGTCTGATTCTTAAATTTAATTATGATTCTTTTGGCCCAGAAGAGAATGCAGGGAATTCCATCAATGGAGACATTAACCGGGTTATGATGGCTGAAAGCATTCCAACGTTGTTTTTCTAAGTGTCCGTCTTTGCTCAGATTGTAGTTAGGAGCCTAGTTAACCAAATAAAAGAAAGTTAAAAGATGATCTTCTTTGTTGTCCACAGTAGAAAAGTCTTCCTAATTCTAAGGGTCTAATATGTATCCTGTAATGATGTACAAAGAGATTGTGTATTTATTAAAATCCAATAAATGTACAGCACAAGAAACAAGAAGTGAACCAGTTTCTCTTATACAAAATACTGTCAGATAAAAGAAAAATTATTTAAGAGGAGCAGCAATCCAAGCTCACCAATAATGAAACATATGTTCTTACTATAGTGATTCTATCTGAAAAACTATAAAAACCAGTTATTATAATCAAACTAGAAAAGAGCAAGTAAAATTAAGCACTTTAAGCACTAAAAATTATCACTATAAATTTCTCTACCCAAAGTTTGAGCAAGAATGTTAATTATTAATAGATTATTCATATTTTCATAATAGCTCTGACATAATGGATAAGTGTTTGCATTTTTTAAGGGCAGATTACAAACTAATTTCATAACATATCCTACCTGTGTGATAGGTATTATTGTGAAATTCTGGTCTGGTTTCATATCTCCATTTTTCTGTTGATCTGTCAAATAATTAATGACATGAGTACCAAGTCTAAATGTCACCAATTTTCTACTGTAATTGAATAAAAACATTGTGAAATATATCAGCATTGAACTTATTTGGGGTCATAGTTTAGAAAACACTAGTTTAAATGCTTTTCACATGAGGGATATCTATATATAAACACTACTGGTCAGGAAATAGTTCACCAAATAAATCTTTATTCCCTGCCCCTAAGAAACCATTAGGGCAATTACAGGTCTTACCACTCACAACCACTTCTTTATTTGAAGATGTTTGAGAACTGAAATAGAAAAAAGAAAGAAAGAAAGTTAATGCTGGGAAAATATCTAAAATTCAGATTTTACATGAATTTAAAAATATTTTGGATATTTAAAAAATACTGGATATTTAAAAATATCCAAGCACCAGTGACTCACACCTATAAACAGAAACTACAATCTAACTAAGGATCGCAGTTCAAAGCCAGCTCAGGCAGGAAAGTTCATGAGAATCTTATTTCCAATTAACCACCAAAAAGCTAGAAGTGTAGTTGTGAACTCACGTGGTAGAGCACCAGCTTTGAATAAAAAAGCTAAGGGACCACACCCAGATGCTAACTTCAAGCCCCAGTGCCAGCATTATAAAAAAAAAAAAAGATGATGATGAAATATGTGTGTGTGTGTGTGTGTGTGTGTGCATATTCATCTTACTGCATCTCAGAGAGGAGGAGCAGAGCCATAACCTCTCAAAACTGCTCATATTAATAATGATTTGAAGGTTCATCATGGCCCTACCTAGAACAAAAAAACACATTCCTGCCATTATACTCAGTAAGTCCCCAGCTCATTCCTCATTTTTTCTCTCTCTCTCTGCTCCAGATATATGGCATTCATTTCTTGTTTCATTGTCCCTTCTTCCTAAAAAGAATGTCAAAGCTGGGCACCATTGGCTCACACCTGTAATCCTAGCTACTCAGAAAGCTGAGATCTGAGGATCTCAGTTCAAGGCCAGCCTAGGCAGGAAATCCTTGAGACTCTTACTTCCAATTGAATACCAGAAAACAGAAGTGGTGCTATGGCTCAAAGTGATAGAGTGCTAGCCTTGACCAAAGAGCTCAGGCACAGTGCCTGTGCCCAGGTACAGGCA